GGCAACACCTCACATGGGGCCCCCTTCACTTGGGACCCCCACTCGGCCGCTCCCCAAATTAAGTCTCCTCCTAAATCTGACAACAAAAGTTTTCATCCTGGCTTGTGCTCGGGCCCTATGGAGATTTTCTTTTTACCCCGACAATTTTTCATCTTGGTCTGGGCCCCCCAGTAGACCCGGGCCCTGGGGCAGCGACCCCCCCGCCCCCTATCGACGCCACTGTCACAGTGGATACCAAAATGACAATGCGACGTGTTGTCTTATACTAATAATAATAATACACATGTAACTGAACCCAATAAAAATTTACCTCCAAAAATCTATCAGTTGAGGGCCTTTAGGCCTACCAATACAAGCGACGTATAATGACAAGCCATTTCACTGTTAATTATTGTTATTATTGTTAACATTATTAATTTGTTTATTTATTATTATTTATAATTGAATATTTACTTTCCGTCTTTGTTTTGAGAATTTTGTTAAATTTAACAAAAACACAAATGGCAGGTTATTGTGTCATCGTGGATCTAGGTACATTTATGTAAAACGTAATTCATCGGAAATACATTCAATTAAAGTTACCGTACCTAAACTGATGGTAATTGTCTCAAATATTTTTCTTGTCACAGTGCAGTGGCGTCGAGAGCCAGTAAGGGCCCCGGGGCAACACCTCACATGGGGCCCCCTTCACTTGGGACCCCCACTCGGCCGCTCCCCAAATTAAGTCTCCTCCTAAATCTGACAATCTGACTGTATTAACAATAAAAAGCACAATTGAACCGAATTTGAGGATACTTTTGTGTAAAAATTGTTGCATATTTTAAAGTTGTCTGTTAAAACATGCTATTTTATTGAACAAATATTCCACTCTAACTCTTGGTCATGTTAAATAGACAGAATTTATGTTTATCAAAGTGCATCGAACATTGTTTAATAATTAGAAACAGAAACATTTATTTGGCACAATCAGGTCGCAACAGGTGAAGTGGACATGGCTATTGGTGGAGATCAAGGAGGGTCAATCCGCTTACCGGCAAGTTGCTCTGGTATCGTTGGTTTGAAACCAACGTATGGTCTTGTGCCTTACACTGGCGCCCAGGCAATGGAACCAACATGTGATTTTTTAGGACCAATGGCAAAGACGGTTTACGATTGTGCTCTTTTGCTAGAGGCAATTGCTGGTTACGATAATGGTCTTGATCCAAGACAGAATCCAACCATCACTGCAGAGAAATATACAGACGCAGTAAGTAAACTTCTAAAACCGAATATTATTATTAAGCCCAATGTGCCATATAGTGGGGCGGATATGTGACTTGGGCGTGCGTTTTGAGTATGCCGATTTCAAAAATTGCGGGAACCACGATGTCACTCCACCCCTTCCCCCTCAAAAATGGAAAATTCAAAATGGGAAAATTCAAAATGGCCGCAAAAAAAAAAAAAATAAAAAAAAAAAAAATCTGGCAGTTTAAAGGCTCTAAGAGCCCACATTACCATGATCTTGGTGTCAATATCTATATTCTTTAGTTCAAGGAATTCAATAAAACATTATTAAAATACAATACCATACATTTTTATCGTGAAAATGCAAAATTAAATAGAATATTCAAAATGGCCGCCAAAAAACAAAATTTGGCAGTTTGAAGGCTTTTAGTGTACATATTGCCATAATCATGGTGTTAATACCTATGCTCATTAGTTCAAGGAATCCAATAGAACGTATATAAAACACCATAGCATACATCTTTAGTGTGAAAATGCAAAATAAATATTCAAAATGGCCGCCAAAAATCACATATTTAGTATAAAAATGACTGCGAGTGCCCTAAATACTATGACATTTTAATGTCCACACCAATGCTTTAGTTCAAGG